AAAATTGTAATTCTATACATTGTTTATCTTTCCCCTCATCTTTTGTTCCTTTTTCTCCAGTAACATGAGAAGTAGTCATCCTACTTTACTGTATTAATTATTTAATATGTTGGTTTTTGATTTAGCATATTTAAACTTACTTTTGAAAATTATTAACGTATAATTTAAATATTATGTTTTTACTCTTACCTAAGTAATAAGAGAAAACATAAATTTACATTCTTCTACTACTCCATTTTAAATTCTTATTGATACAGTAAGGGATTTAGGTACAGTTTATTAAAATATTATTTTTATAATATATATTTCAAGAAATTTTTGATATTTGCTTTAAGTTTTATAACCATATGAAGATCAATTACTTAGATTTAATTTTGTGTTTTACCAGTTTCAATGCTTGCTGTCAGTTCTTTAATTCTATTGTGTTTCTTTATTTTAAATTTTCTCATGGGTGGCTTGTGTTTCTTTCGGAAGGAAATGTAGGTGATGTTCATTCTGAGCTTCCACATCTCTGAGACTGTTCTTTATTGTCCTCACATGAGTATAGGTGGCTGTGGAATTTATGGATCTAAAACATCTTTCTCCATTTAGTGGAGACTTTGATTAGTTGAGTTCTGTCCCTTAGAATTTTACAGCAGAAGCTTGGGAATGGCCTGTTGTCTCTCTAGATATTTGATTTGTTTGCTTTTTGTTTATTTTTCCCCTCTAGAGAATTTTTATCTTTACCCTTGAAATGCTAAAATCTCTCCAAGCTGTATCTACATTTCAGTTACTTTTAATAATTTTACTTTGTACTTTATATAAATTTAACCAGTAATCTTGAGATCTTTCTTCTTAAGCAATAACCTTTCTTTTGTTTCTAGCTGTATTCTGTTTGTCTTAGTCTTTCCTCGATTCCTAGAGTAACTAGATTTTTCCCATATGTGCTTCCTCTCCGTTTTATTTTTGTCTTCTCTGACCCTCTTCTTTGAGTGTTGGGTGAATTTCTTAAGCATGTCTTCTACTTGCCATTTCAGTTTTCTGAAATTTTATACTTCATATCATTGCCTCCATTGCTGTTTTTAATTCAAAAAGTGTTTTTCTTCATTTTGTTAAGTAGAGTAATGGCCTCCCAAAGATGTCCACTACTTAATCCCTGGAACCTGTAAATATGTTACCTTACATGGCAAAAGGGACTTTGCAGGTATGATTTAGTTAAGGATATTGAGATGGGGAGATTATCCTAGTTTATCCAGATGGGCCCAGTGTAATCACAGGGGCCCTTAAATGTGTGGAAAATGGAGGCAGAAGAGTCAGTGTTAGAGTAATTTAATGTGAGAAGGACTTGACTGGCTATTGCTAGCTTTGAAGATGAAAGGAGGCTATGAACCAAGGAATGTGGGAAGCTTCTAGAAGCTGGAAAAGACAAGAAAATGGATTTCCCTAGAGCCTTGGGAAGGGTACACAGCCCTGGCAACATCTTGATTTTAGCCCAGTGAGTTTCATATTGGACTTACGGCTTCTATGATTAAAAGATAAATCTGTGTTCTTATAAGTCACTAAATTTGTGGTAATTTGTTACAGCAGCAATAGGAAACTAATACAATCTCAATGTAGTTTTTCCTGACTTTTTTGGAGGGGGAGGCAAGGGGTCTTCATAATGGCTTGCTCTGTTTTCAGTGACAGTACCCTTAACAAAGCACATTGAAAACAGAATCAGAAACTTTCTGTAATTTAATAGTTTTCTTCTTTTTTTTTTTTACCTCCTCTTTTTTGTTTATAAGTTTGCTTCAGAGGGAGACGTTTTCTCTTACTCTTTTGAGTGGTCATCTCCTTTGAGATTGCATTTTTCCCTACTCTGTCTGCTATTTTTTTCTGTTTGTTCATCATTATAGCTATGACTATCTTATTGGTTTATAGTCCAAGAGTAGTTGAATTGGGTTCTCCCAGAGCTTGGTGTGAGTTTCTGCCTAAGTCCTGTGGGTCCTGAAGAATTAAGAAAGCCCATTCATACTGCCCTTCTGACTGCTGTTGGTGGTTCTGCTAAGTTCTCATCCACTTACTCTTCAGACCTGTTGTTTTTTTACAGATGATAGAAGAAGAGTTTTATTTCCTCTTTCAGTTCAGCTCTATTGTACTAAATCTAGCTAAAATTCATCTAACTTTTTCTTAGGTATATTATACCCTTCCTGTTTTTAAGGAAAAAGAAGGAAGGGAAGAGACAGGGGTAAGGGAGTAGTGAGAGAAAGTGAAGAAACAGGAGGAGAAATGAAGCAATTTATGAAACAAGATTCTTGAAATAGTAAGAAAGGATGGAACTCAAAGCACTTGGATGGTGAAGGGCATACCTCTTCCATTGTAACAAAAGAGGAAGAAAGGATGGGTTCTTGAACAGGTAATTTTGTCTTTTTGGTGGGAGAAATGTGAGAAGGTCCTAATCTGATGATTTCTATTTTCCTCTTTTGGCAACTGCTGATGGAGAGAGGAAGATGGAGTTTAAAAGTTTGAGAACAATAGATAAGCTTAAAGTAGTCACTTTGGAGAATATACAGAATAATAATTAGGGAAAATTGAATTATCATATAGCATTTAAGTCCCAGCTGAGGTTAAACATCATGACTTTACACTGGAACTGATCTGCAGGTGTGCTGATTTTCTCTAACATTTCTCAGAAGCCTTGGTGAATGAAAATGGCAACCAATTAGATTCATCCAAGTCAGGTGTTATATAATCAGGAAAGATAATTCAGGAAAGATAATTCAAAGATAAATATCTCTGTTCCTTTATCTAAACTTCCAAGATTACAGAAGTGCTGAAAATTGAAGAATTTTCATAACTCATTTGGTGGCAAAACCTGCCTTGAATGAATTGGTGTGAGGCTATTTATAGTCTATATTTATAAAATTTTAGTGTATATACTCATACGTTTTGCATCAGAAATTAATATATATGACTCTGTAGTGCTGCCTCAAACTCTGCTTGGGATGTTTTATCACATATGGAATATGCACTTTCTTACTTTGTAAAACAAGAAAAATTCTGAGTTCTTCAGGATGTTGACCCCAACATCTTCAAGAAGAGATTGTGTTCTTGTGTTGGCAGTAAAGAGTTTGAAAAGATCTACTGTGGAATCTAAGCTTGATAAGGAGGAAAGGGAAAATGGGAGGGTAATCCATTGGGGAAAAAATAGAAGGATCAAAGAAATAGATGACTTAAACAAACTGGTGTTTTGAGGGGGCCAAATGAGAAAGTTGGAAGAATCGGAAGTTGCTGTTTGTGATTAGTATGTTTAAATTAACTATTTCTGAAGGGAGACAGGTTTGGGTGATTACAGAAGTCCAGAGTGTGACCATAGGAGTGTGGCAGCTGAGTTGTAATGGAATAAAAGGCCATTAGATATGAGGCCAAGAAACTGAGAGGCAAAAGAATTAGATTAATTACCCAGAGTAATGATAGTGTTTAGAGTGGAATGGAAGACTACAAGCCAAGTTCTCAGATCTCCAGTGAATGAGGCATGAGAGAGATACATAAGATACCAAGATACATAAGAGAAGGTCTTCGCTTTTCTCTTGGACTGTGATCTCTTCAAGAAATATACAAGTAGAGAGATAAATAGTTACACAACATGGTAAGTATAATGAAGAAGCACCATCTAAAAGATATGAAAGTCTATCTAGATGAGGAAGGAGACTCTAGCTGTCTGAATGAGTCAGTAGATGAACCACTTAATAAGCATTTCATACTTTCGTGGAATTTTCAGTGTTTGATAAACATTTGTACATATCCTATGGCTATTCAGTAAGTAGAATATTTGATCAAAAATAGTGGTTAAAATGGTCATATTTGCTCAGTAATTTATTTGAAGCAATGCAAGAGAAAAAAGAAAAGGTAGAATGTGAACTCTAAGGAGTATTCTCTAATTCTAAAAGTTTCAGAGAAACTTGAGGTTTCTGGAAGAGAGTGTTTTATACTATTTGATGTACAATTTTCTAGTTTCTTATGTTTTCTAATTTTGTTTTAATTTATTTACAGCTTATGTTATGCTATGATAAGCTTTTTCAGTCCTTTTTGGATTCAAGTGACAGCACAAATAATTAAGAAACAAATATATTCTAATTGATGTTGAAAAATAAGTGAACAGATTGTAGAGCATTATTTATCACTACATATTAAAAGATACTTCATCTAATCAAAGTATATTTTACTTCTTGTGGAGCGGTGTCAAGTATCAACTACTCTTTGGAAGTTACATTAGGTTACAAGAAAAAGTCTTTAAACATCATAGATTGGTTGATGAATGCTATTTTGGGGATAAAGAGTTGAGGGGTAGACAGTATTGGCCACAGGAATGTTGAGCAGCAAATGCTGACTTTGGGCAAAGAACCTTTGGTGCATGGTGACTTCTTTGAAATGTTGGGACTGATGGTCCTTGTGGGGACATTTATTACATAATTTGTGTCACAGATCAAACGTATCGTGTGAGAATAGAAATGCAGAATAATAGGGCAATAATACCCTGTCTGTAAACCAACCATGTTTATGATCCTCTAAATAACAGGTCAAAGTAGATTCCACTAGCGTAAATATTTCAACTGCAATGTTGTGCAAAATTTTTGTCTGTCTCATGTATTTTAAGTAAGATTTCTGGGTCATGTGTCTTTTCTAGAAGACTTCAATGAAGTACAACCACCAAGCAAAGACCTTGTCATTTATTTGATTCCCACTGTCTTTAATCTTTATAGGGTCACGATGAGTCGGAATCGACTCGATGGCAGTGGGTTTGGTTTTTTTTTTTTTTTGGTTTTGTCTTTAATCTTGAGAACAGTAATCCGTGAGAAACTTTGGAGTTTCAGCAGACTCGTAGAATGGTATGCAAACTCAAGTATTCAAATTCTTTGCTTTTATTTTTCTGCTGTATTCACTATAGCTATATGTCTAAGTTCAGACCTGTGGTTTCCTTTAGTTTTTTTGGTGTGATTGTTTTGCTTTATTTTCATCCTTTTCCTTCCTTTCTTTTTTAGTTCACAGCCATGAATGAACGACAGTGCTTCTACAATGAGTCTATTGCCTTCTTTTATAACCGGAGTGGAAAGTATCTCGCCACAGAGTGGAACACAGTCAGCAAGCTGGTGATGGGACTTGGAATCACTGTCTGTATCTTCATCATGTTGGCCAACCTACTGGTCATGGTGGCAATCTACGTCAATCGCCGCTTCCATTTTCCTATTTATTACTTAATGGCTAATCTGGCTGCGGCAGACTTCTTTGCTGGGTTGGCCTACTTCTACCTAATGTTCAACACAGGACCCAATACTCGGAGACTGACCGTCAGCACGTGGCTCCTTCGTCAGGGCCTCATTGACACCAGCCTGACGGCATCTGTGGCCAACTTACTGGCTATAGCAATCGAGAGGCACATTACAGTTTTCCGCATGCAGCTCCACACACGGATGAGCAACCGGCGGGTGGTAGTGGTCATTGTGGTCATTTGGACTATGGCCATTGTTATGGGTGCTATACCCAGTGTGGGCTGGAACTGTATCTGTGATATTGAAAATTGTTCCAACATGGCACCTCTCTACAGTGACTCTTATTTAGTCTTCTGGGCCATTTTCAACTTGGTGACCTTTGTGGTAATGGTGGTTCTGTATGCTCATATCTTTGGCTATGTTCGCCAGAGGACTATGAGAATGTCTAGGCATAGTTCTGGACCCCGGCGGAATCGGGACACCATGATGAGTCTTCTGAAGACTGTGGTCATTGTGCTTGGTAAGTATTGTCTTGACTGTAACTTACTTTACAGATTCCCAATATCTTAATATAAACTGCATTAGTTTATAATAGTGGAAAACACTAATCTGAATATTCACCACATATATATGCTGGAAGTACAAGGGGATGCAGCATCTTTATAGCAAATGTCTGTGAAAATAGCAACATATCAGTCTTTCTACAATTACGGAATTGGCTGTAGGGAAATGTGCATCTCAGTGGTGTAGTATAAATGATAACGATGTGAAAGATGTCATTAAAGAGTTTGATTATGTGATATTTAAAATTCCAGACTAATCAATCAAATTTGTTTAGCTTTTAAAAGGTTTCCTTGCAGCTTAAATTGTTGAACTTTTGCCTTGTAGTCTTTGTATTACAGATTTACAGATAGAAAATGCTTTTATATACTATGAATATGCTTTCATACAGTTATTTTTATTAGTTTATTTCTAAATTTTCACATTCTGTAATTCTTAGAGCATTTTTGGTAAGTATATCAAGGTATTGATAGATTTAGTGCACTCAATAGGATATTGGAATTTTAGCATTCTGTGACAGCCACCTTAATGAAAACAGGTTTTTCTCCCCCATTATTTTTCTGGACATGGTAGAGGAAGTTAATTCACATTTTAAAGTGAAGAGAAAGATTTTATTCTTTGCGTAGACTTGAATAATTTTTTGCTTTTAAATAAGCATTATTTTACCTAGATGAAAACTTCATGGTAGTGCTTAGGAAGAATATATATTTATGTTTATTTGTTAGTTAGTTTGTTTAGCAAATAGTTAACGAACACCTAATAAGTTCCAAGTCCTGTGCTGGTCCCTGAAGAGATAACCATTAATGGGACAGACTCAGAACCTTTCTCTTGGCACTTAAAATGGGGTGCCTATTTTAAACATTCACCTAGTGCGATTGTTTAAATAATTACCCTATTCAATTATATATTCTCCATAGACTATATTCCAGTTAATATTTGATCATATTTTTTTTACTCTTTTATTATTTCATCTTTCACCATGAAAATTCGGCAGAGAGGTCCTATAATTAATTCTCTTTGCTCCAACTGCTAAAGCAGTGTTGAGTGAATGTAACCTGAAATCACGTGACTCCTCTGAAACTCTGGAAGTGACATTAATTTTAGTCACTGGAAAGAGATCCCTAATTATCACTAAATAAATTAAGATTCTGGCAGATGCATCAGACTCATTTATTTTAGTTAGGGTGAATGCATCACAGACCATTTCTGGGTATACTGGTCCTCTTATGGATCTGTGAGAATAGGAGGACTAGACCTTGGAATCGCTGACCCAACTACAGCCCTGCTTGTAACGAACTGGCACAGCTGGATAATATCCCCACTGTGTGCTCCACCACATCCAGATATGAGATTGTCTTAGTCCATCTAAAGAAGTTTAGTAGAAGTACAAAACCGGTTTCCCTGTATGTTTAATTATCAACAAAAACCACAAGGACCTATTGAATTTAAAATATTGTCCATGATATGGATAAAACACAACTTAGTTTACCATGGATGCTGTTTTTGATGAAATTAAATAACAGATATTTTTACTTCTGTGCTGACTCAAATATTTGTTTTTTTAGTGATGGTCTAAATGTTGGATGACACTTTTCATATCAGTGTGCTTTTATTATTATTGCATCAAGTGCTGCTTATAGTTCACAGAACCACCAGCAGTAAATGACTACTGAACTTGGACTGTGAACCTGCCAAGTTCTTGTTTTAATAGTGACCTTTGTATAATACCTAGCATATTCTACTGTGCAGTATACTTAGTGATTCATGCAAAATTAACTTTCGTGCCTCACTGAGTTGTTTTGAAGACAAATGGCATAAATATTTTGAGAGTTTATGGGGCAACAATTTGAGGTACAGTTGCCCTGAACGCTTCCCCACTCACACCAACCCCAAACTCCAAAATAACAGAAATAATGTTGCTTTCTGAGATTTAAACTAGTAGACTTCACAAAGATAGTATGTGATTACTTCTGGAATAAGTAACAATTTCTGTAGATGTGTAATGGAAGAAGTTTTAGAACATGGAAAACTCCAATAAGCATGATAGATGAGGCAAGATGGGAATGTAATTATAATATAGGAAGCAGAAATTAAATAAATGGGGTCCCTGGAGGATGCAAATGGTTAACATGTTTGGCTGTTAACTGAAGGATTGGAGGTTTGAGTCCCACCTAGAGGTGCTTCAGAAGAAAGGCCTGGTGATCTACTTCCAAAAAATCAGTCATTGAAAACTCTATGGAGTGTAGTTCTACTCTGACACACAAGGAGTTGCCATGAGTTAGAAATCAACTCAACGGCAACTTGTTTTTGTTTAGCCTCTTTGAGAGAGGCATTGAGAATATGAGTGTGGGCAGATTCAGAAAGCAGAGAGAAGGGAATTCACAATCCTAAACAGATGTTTGCAGCATGTGGCCAGCATGGTTGAAGCAGGATGCCCTAGTCCTCAAGCTTAGCTTGTTAGATGCTGTAGCATTACACACATCACAAGGTGACGCCTGGTGCCTGATGTACTCCCTTATTTGGACTGTAAGTTTCCATCCCTATGTAGGTCTAATTACATGGAGGGGATGGTTTGGTCTTGCAAGAACAAGAATTCTGATCTACTTGAAGCTTACTCTTCTCATTGTAAATTAGTTAATTGACAATCTGGTTTTTAACTTTGATTTTTATATCTTTCTTCTCTATCAGATTGTCAGCTTTGTGAGAGCAGGTGGGGACTATAATTGTTTGTTGTCCATTTTCTCCCCATTGCCTGTCAAAACATCTGGCACAAAGTAGGTACTCAATAAATAATTGTTGAATGTATGAATGTGGTGACAAAACCAAGTTTCTGACCCTTCAAAGCTGAGGACCAGAGCCCGAGTGAATTCACTAAGGTAATGTCACTTTATTCAGCTATGAGCCTGCGAAACCTGGTTACACTCCCACTCCATTTCATGCCTTCCAGTCAAAATACAACCACTTGTAAAATGACTGACCACGATGGGTGCTCAATAAATAATGTTTTTTGTTTTACTTTCATTTATTCTGGGGATGATTACGGTTTGATTAACTGCATGTTAAACTTTCAGTTTCCATTTTCATCACCTCAAAATGACCTCTGGGTTTTACACATGTTCAGGGAAGGATTTGTTGGTCAAGGAGCTGAATTCCTAGAAGCCAACTTAAAAACGGAAGTATCTTTGAGTTTTATGATGGCAAATAAGAGTAGCAGGTTTTAAGCACAAGGTTGTATATAAGCTGCTCTTGAGTGAGGATCTTATTATTTATTTGTCAAACACTTAAATAGTATTAATTGTGTGCTGACACTACTATAAACCAAAAAACCAAACTCGTTGCCATCAAGTTGATACCAACTCATAGCGACGCTCTAAGCACCTTAGAAAATTACTGTTTGTAAATAACAACCCTATGGAACATAAACCAAAACCAAAATCAAACCCGTTGCCGCTGAGCCGATTCCGACTCAAAGCGACCCTACAGGACAGAGTAGAACTGCCACGTAGGGGTTCCAAGGAGTGGCTGGTGGATCCAAACTGCCAACCTTTTGGTTAGCAGCCGAGCTCTTAATCACTGCGCCACCAGGGCTCCATGGAGTATAGTTATCGTTATCTATTTGTAATCCTCATTTTACAGAGGTGAAAACTGAGGGACAGAGAGGTTAGGTAACTTGCCCGAGGTCACATAGCTAGTAGTTAAGTACAGGAGCTACGATTCTAACTCAGGGACTCTGGTTTCAGAGTCCAACCTTTTCACCTCACTCTATGCTCCTTTTCTGTAATAAAAACCGCCAGCAGCACATGCTGTATTTTGTTATAAAGTTCGAACAGCACTGTACTTGTAAAACATTATGATCCCATTTGTTTCCTTGATATTGCCTAGCGCTGCCAGTGCTTTATTTCCATGGTCAGAAGAAGGTTTTGAAAGAGCATTCCTTTCCTCCCTTTGCTTCTGATGGTGATGCCCATGATTCTCGTTTCACTTGCCCTTTTCCCCTGCTTGGTATTCAGAGCACCAGTAACTGAGCGCCTCTGATGGAGGGAGTGTTTTGTTCAAGGTGTAGTTAACTTGAGCGTTCATTGTCCCAGCATGAAGTCATGTAATCCTTCCGAGGCTTGAATTCTCCTTACTTGACATTTTACCAAGAATTCCTTTTGAGCCTGTTCCACTGTTGAATCAGAGTGGCAGTCAAGAAGTTCTTCCTTATTTGACCATGGTCTGTCTGAAGTTGCAAGCCCATTTCTTTCCTGCTCTGTTCTTTGTGATGACACTTCTACTGGGGATAATCAGAAAAGAGGAAAACCAGGCTTTGGAAAGGGAAAATAAGGCTTAAGATGTGGTGGTTTTTGCATCTGAGCCCTGGGATAGAGTGAGGGATATAAAGCAAGATAAATCCAGATGGGGCTTATCTCTTAGGAGAAGAAGAGGAGTCACTGTTCTTTCTAGTTTGATCTGCACCGGCTAGAAATGATCACCACTGTGAAGCTAAATTACCCCTTATTACCTCTGCGCTGGATGTCAGGGTCTATACTCAGTATTACACCTCATGCGCTATTTCTAACCTTGCACGAAGGGACGTTGTATTTTTTCTATTCTATATTGACGGAACCTAGTTACCATAGGGTAAATAACTTGTCCAAGATCACTGTCTTTCCAAGTGGCAGAACTGGAATTCAACAGTTGGACACAGGCTCTCCATACACCATATGAGACTATCCATAGCCCTGTTACTGGTGGTAATAATAGTGGTGGGTGTGTCCGAGAGCCAGCCAGAAAATTCTTCCTTCTCTCTGGCCAGACAGGTTTAAGCCCATTTTTTTCTTATTTACTGTGATAGAACATTACTGGCCAATAGCCTGTTAACAACTCTTTATGCCCTTCTCTTTTAAATTTGATTCAGTAAGTATGTGGTGAGTGTTGACTGTGTGCTAAGGGATAAAAAGATGAGTAAGGTAAGAC